ATTACAGACCATGTAGATCTTTTGCCGCCTTAATAAGCCTGCTCCATCTCTCCCTGTCTTGGGCTATTTCTTTCCATTTATCTGCACGCAGCTCTGTTGCATCTTTGTTGATTCTATCTATCCATCTGGTTTTTGGTATTCCACGTGGCCTTTTGCCTTCTATTGAGGCATTCATTGTTTCCTAGAAACTTCCAGATGGATTGCTAAGGGCTACATGCCCCGCCCATCTTAACCTCCCACGTATCTTCATATCATGGGATATTGATTGACCAGTTTCTGTAAGCAGTTCTTTATTGGTCTTTCTTCCTATGTGTTTCTATGTCTTTCTTCCTATGTACTCCGATCCCAGAAAGCTTCGGTTATCGTGCGAAAGATTTCTTCTCCAGAAAAGTCCAGATCTGTCTCACAGCCATATATTAAAACTGGCTTTATCATTGTACATCCTTGCTTTTTAGATTTCTTGAGATTTTTCGGGATCTCAATACCTTTGTTAAGGCCACTCGCTGTAGCCCAACACATAGAAGTGACAAGAAGAGGTGGCGTGGATGCCAACACATATTACAACGTCAGACCAGAGAATATGTCAGACCACAATATTCACTCAGATGACACAGAAGCCAGTCTCTCAATGGAGAATTCAACATCATTCAATCAGCCAGCATCTTCATTTATCTGGTCAGCCCATATTAACCAATAGTTCACTAACATAATAATCCAAATGTACATCTTAAACTCCATCAACCTCTGTTCACTAACATAATAATCCAAATGTACATCTTTAACCCCATCAACCTCTGTTTATTTCAATCTATTATTTTATCAATATATTTTATGTTAAACATCATTTTACACATTTTCTCTTTTCACATTCCACATGAACACCTCCTTCTGATCAAGTAATTAGCATCCAGGTTTGATTCCCCCTACTTCGGGATTAGGGTATGCCCCAAACATTTGGTGACGCCCGACAAGTGATATTTTTTTTCATCAATTTTAAATTCTAAATCGAATCCCACTTTTTCTATATAATTACTCAGTGGTTTCATTTAATTAGATGTACAATGTAATTTCAGGATTAAGGGAATAAAGCATACGTGCTTCGCACATAACTATATTTAATCAAATTAAATTTTATTGTTTGTACTTACAGGATACTGAATCTGTTCAGCCAGTTAATTTTGTTTTTTGTATAATCAAGATAAAATTTAACAAAAAAAAGGTATTGTTTAATTAGAATTTAAGATGAATTATATTTCACCAATCAAATTGGTATAATGTCTGCAAGACTTATCATTTTTCAAATTCTCACATTTTTCATAAAAACTAAATACTTAACTTCTTATTAGTTATTACTTAATAATTAACAAGTTAAACATTTTAATAATTTAGAATTCTTTTGGATGTATCAATAATTGCATATATCATATCAAACAAAACAAAGTAATTTTATTTATTTACAACAATGGCGGGGCTCCTCAACCTCTTACGAGTCATTTTAGCCCTTACAAAATATTTATTTTACATCAGATGAAATTAAATTTAACAATAAATTGAAAGCATAAAGTAGTTAAAACAAAAAAAGAGTCAGCAAATTTTAAATTTTTTCGTAAAGGTGCGTTATTTGAAGAAATGTAAAGACTTTTTTTGCCAATTTGGTAGTATTTTTTAGAATTTCAGTTATATCGTTCTCCAATTCAATTTCATTACGTTGTTTTTCATAAACAGTGGCCGCACCGACTCCATCTTGAGTTTTTGACCCATCTGTGAAAAGATATTCCCAATTGGAATGTTTCATTTGGAAGTTCGTAAATTCTGTCAATCTTAACTTTGAAGCAAGGGCCTTGTTACATTTTACTTTATGTATTTTTGGAATTTTTAACAGCCAGAGCTCTGTTTGCAATTACCGAACTTCTAGAATGGAGGGAAAAGCTGCGAGATCAAAGTCTGTGATGTGAATTGAGCACCTTTCTGCTAAAGATAATTTAGTTGGTGGGTTTACGAGAACTGTTGTTGGTATTACGAGTGTGTTTTTTAAAGGGTGAGTGGGTCTAGAAATTGTTTTTATACAGAACACCAAGTCTAAAATTTGCCTTCGTATAGCCAGTGGCATTATACCTGCTTCGACTTGAAGGCTCGCTATGGTGCTTGATCGAAAAGCACCAGCGGCTACTCGAAGTGCTATGTTTTTGATCATATCCAGCATCTCAAGTGTCCTTTTGCTAGCGTAACCATATATTATACACGCATAATCTAATTTTCTCAGTACAATTGCCTTATAAAATCGAATTATACTTATTCTATCAGCTCCCCAGTTGTGATTGCTTACCGTTTTTAGGATATTTAAGCCTGTAGACAGTTATACCTCAGCTGTTTTATATAGGGTGTCCATGTAAGAGCGCGATCTAAAGTGACACCCAGATATTTAATATTCGTTGAATACACTGAATCCTTCCTGTCAATTTTAATATTTTTAATGGTAAAATTTCGTTTTCGCGTAAATAATATCGTCTGTGATTTGTTGACGGATTTTTAAACCATGTGTATTAAGCCAAGATGTTACACCTAATAAAGCTTCTTGTAGAATTTCGTGAATAAGCGTAGCATCTTTACCCTTAACATAAATCACTACATCATCAGCGTACATCAAAATGTTTGCTGGGCATCTTACTTTTGTGGCGACTCCGTTAATTGCCAGGCTAAATAATATAGGACTAAGTACGCAGCCTTGTGGGACACCGCTTATTGTTCAAATTCATTTGATATTGCGTTGCCGGATGTTACATAAAACTTCCTATTGTTTAGGAAGTGAAATATAAATTGGAACATTTCACCGTATATCCTAATTTCAGTCAACACATTTAGTAAATATTTTATGCATACAGAGTTGAATGCATTTTCGATATCCAAAAATACCGCTGAGAGGAATTCCTTTGATCGAAAAGCTCCTATTACGTCAACTTCTAATTTTATTAGGTTGTCTAGTTTACTTCAGCCGCTTCGGAAACCACTTTGCCATAAGCAAAGAATGTTTTTACTTTCCATAAACCATTTTAAACGATTGGCAATCATTCTTTCCAACAGCTTGCAAACACAACTGGTTAGCGCGATAGGTCAGTCGGTAACTGGACATCAGTTCTTTCGATTTGCCTTTTTTTTTAAAATGGAAATTATTTCGGATTTACGCCAATCATCAGGAAAAAATTTTGAACGTTATGCATTATTCAGAAATGTACAGGGTAATATTTTGCTATGATAAGATAAATTTTTTAACATACTATAAGTGATGCGGTCTGGTCCTCGAAAAACTTCTTTACATGCTTTAAGGGCTGTACTAAATTCAAAGAAAGAGAAGGGAAGATTAAGGGCATTACTTTCGGCGCTTATGGATTCCACTTGAGCTGTACTAATTAAGATTGGAATGTTTTGTATTGGAGTCGAAAATGTCATACTAAAATATTCTCCTATCGCATTAGCTACGGTCTTAGTCTGTGATTATTTCGTCAGCCCTATTGAGCATGTTCAAGGAAAAATGTTGTTTCTTACCTATTATTTTCCTTAATATATCCCATACATCAGCGATCGGAGTATTAATATTTATTCGCGACACAAATTCTTTCCAACACGTTTTTTTTTGCTTTGTTTTGCAACATAACACGCTTGTTTCCTAGCTGTGATGTATTTTTCAAAGTTGTCGGAATTCGGTTTATTTTTAAATTTCCGCAACATTTTTTTCCTGTTTTTAATGGCAATAGAGCAATCTTTCGTCCACCAAGGGACGAGGATCGCCCCACTTCTTGCCCTGGTCTATCAGATATGTTAATTTTTGTTTTAAAGGAAAAAATATATAAAATCGCCGTTGTTGCAATGTAGCTAGTTCACCTTATTAATTATTTCTTAATATAATACAAAATATGAATTTTATTGCCTTCAAAGCTCTTTTTTTGGGAATCGATCTCCGCCTTTCTGTAAGCACTATTTTATGATTGTTTTCACATTAACATCCTTAGCTTTGTCATCATAGTATAATGAGAAAACCACTTCCGAAGAACCCGAATCATGCAATGAACAGCAATAAAATGTTTCATATATTCTATAAGGATAAATCATATAATATTAATGCAGTCGCTTTCTAACGATCAACGTAACTTAACGCACGAAATCAGACAAGTTAAAACAGATATTAAACACGTCGAAATTTCATTTTTCATTCTTGTTGAGAATCAAAGACGCCTCTTTTTCTAACTTTTAGATAATTCCTAAAATAATTTCATTTTAAGCATCTGATAGCAAGAGAAAATATACTTACGAGATTTTTTGTTTTAAATTGCATTGGCCAATTATGATCACCCTACCTAACTTAGTATAAAACGCATATAATTAATTACCTGAATAATTTTGATTCCTTATGTTATATTAAAATTTGGGATTTTTAAAATTTCTTATAGACTCACAAATTTGTTGGAACTTTAATACATTCGTCACTGTGGATATTTCGCATATTTCTTCTAATTTGCTTCTTAATAAAAATATATTATATAGATAAGTGATTTAAGACATCTAGTTATGAAATTTTCTTTTCGGGCATCTTTTAGCCATCTTTAAAAATTTATTTGTTAACTATCATCTGATAAAAGTCTTTTGAAGATATTAAAAAAAGTAATTCTTTTAGAGGTCATTCAAATATTGATGCTGGGTTAGTAGAAATTATTTACCCAATTCGCTAAAGGAGCGTGTGAGATTTAATTAAGTATTTACACTTTTATTTAATGTTCTTCTAATTTCATATTTTGGTTTCATTATCAAACTATAGTTCAACATCAAATAAGTTTCATAAATTTCAAAATAAAATAAAGAAATATTGTTGTAATAATTTAAATTTATTTTTGTGTACTCCTATTTTCGATTGCTTTTAAAATGTAATGTTTTCATAGTCCTGATCATTCCTCTCTATTTCCATTCAGCTCCATGTGTATCTGAGACCTCCTATTAGTTCCCAGTGTATGCTTTCTTGTAATAGTTTGGAAGACTCTAACCGATTATATGTGATTCTTAAACCATTTATCTGTGTTGTCGGACTCCTTAATGAGGATTCTCTGGTTCGCAGGCGTGCGCCCTGGGTCCAGCTGCTGCTCAGTCCGCATTCTGCTCGCGAAGGGGTCTTTTCAAAACTCGTCTTCTCTTGTTGCGTCTGTGTGGTGATAGTGTTAGTGGAATATGTTACCATGGCGGTGAGTTTTTGGGTAACTGCTACGTTTCTCGTGTGTACCAGTCTCTTTTATGGTAAGTTTTCCTTAAAAAAACAAAACAGTAAATAAATAATATATATATATACATATATATATATATATATATATATATATATATATATATATATATATATATAATGTTCAAATTAATAGTTTCTATTACAATTATAAATATTCCACTTATTTATTTTTTTTTATAAGGGAAGAGGTTCCGTTAATGAATAATTTATTTATTCTCTCTTAGCCGATGTTTCGGGCTCCATACCCCTCTTCAAGGATAATTTGTTTTGTTATTATAACAATAAGGTCAGGTTAATATGTAATTTAAAATATTTTTTTAAATAAAAATATATATTTTTATATGCCTGGTTAATGATGACTGTCAAATGTAATCCAAATATCTTCTCAATAAACATTTCTGTGTCATTTTAGTGTATGTTTTACGTTCTGTCATGATTTAAAAATATGTTCCAACATTAAAATACATTTTTTTAGGAGACGGAAGTTGTTACAATTTTCATTACATTATTGCGTCTTTTTATCTTGGTTATATTATAGAATTTAACTAATAATAAGATGGATAATGATTTTTAAAATATTGTGTTAACTTTTTGATATTACCTAGTTAATAACTTAAATTGTATTCAAGTAAAAATATGTTTTCAATTACGATGCCGTAAACAAAATATTTTTTATAATTTTATATTTATATATTTTATTGTTGCGAGAACCATATCCATTGTTCAAAATAAAAACAAAAGACTGTTAAGAAGAATGTATCGTGATGAAAACGAAAATTCAAATTTAATTATTCTATATGTGACCAACTGATTAATATATGTGGGTGACGATATCATCAACGCCTTTTGTTTAATAGATTTTTTGTAGCAATCCATGGCAGAGATGATATTTGCCGACCTACAGTGATGATAGTTTCTGATAAAATGCTAACAACAGTTAATGTTCTATAGTTTACAGAACAGTTTGTCAAAGAGGGAAAAACATCAATATAAGAACATTCGATTAAAAAAAATTCCCATATTTTAAGTCCTTGGTACAGATACCTTTTTATCAAATTATTAACATCGGCCTGAAACTTCGTGAATAGCTTCATCTCATCGTAAACTACAACTATTTTATTTACGAAAACTCTTGGAATCGGGGCGTTTTCAATCTGGAGGGTGGCAAACTTTCTATATTTGATACGGTAATAAAACACATAAATACTTTACACTTGGATCGTAAGATATTTGATCACAAAATAGAAAAAAAAGGTGTCCTACAAAAATATTGGGTCGTTTGGTCTATATAACCTTGTTATTTTGACATTCTGAGAGTTTAAGTCAAGCCAAACGCCTCAATATTTTGTTTTATTTGTTAGTACCTAATTAAATAGATAAAGTTTACCAATCTCCAGATTGAAAACGCCCCAATTCCGAGAATTTTCGTAAATAAAATAGTTATAGGTTACGATAAGATGTATCATTTTACGAAGTTTCAGCCCGATGTTAATAATTTGATAAAAAGGGGTCTATACCACGGACTATTAATTCAATTTAGGAAAATAATGTGTCTGTAAAACATTTCATATATATTTGTTTTAAGTAAGTAAATATTTCAGGAATATTAGTGTTGTACTTATCTAATAAAGTTTCTTAACTGGTATCGTAGATTGGTACCTTTCAATTTTCTGCAGTAACAAAGTCTTTGACAGTCATGGTTATGAACGCCTATAATTAATTTTTTATTTTAAATTATATAGAAGTTATTTAAAATTATTTATATTTTCTACAATAATCTCCATTGAATTTCTAATTTGTAGATCATTAGTCAATTTAGTTTTCTGTTTTGTTTTTTTTAAATCTTGTTTATCAAAGATAAAAAGTTCGTTCTGATGGTAATTATTTTTACACTATTTCAAACAAAGAAAAAAAAATGATAATATAATACAACCCTGTATTGTATGTTGAAAATTCTAAAAAAAATATATGTGTTTTTATTTTTACTGCTATACGTTTTGCCCAAGTCCTTGCGCTACAGATACGATCTGAATTGAAATACCATCTGCGCAGTAATTGATATCACACGCCCCCAGAATGCTGTAACAGAATGCTCGCGCCAATATTGGCATCTCTATGGGATCGGGAAGAAATATGCAAGGGAATACTCCCCCCTTTCCACCTCCCCCTTTGAAGCACATACTTATTTCTCTTCTATATTCTCATCTCATATCATCTTCTACCTCACACGTTTTCGCATTTATTTTGCTCTTCCGTTATTATTGATGTCATAAAACGCTTAAGTAATCAGTTGGTTTGAGCGAATTTTGTTTTTATAATATGACCCGTAATATATCAAAATCCCCTTAATCATATGATAGGTATATAGCATACTTGGAGAACCAGTAGGATCCCAAACGTTTTTGCACGATATTTATTACTTTCCTAAATATACTAGGTTAGGGAAGTATTGCGATCGGGTCAAATTTTTGAAATGCGGTATGCGACTATACGTTTCAAAGCCCCCTGAGTCCGAAAAACACATTTTTAGCCATTGGCCTTGGCCTGTCTGTCTGTCTTTCTGTGCCAAGATTTTCTCGAGAACTACTGAACTTATTTTGTTGCTTCTTTTTTTATTTTGTAGGGTTTTGACTACTGATTCATGTGAAAGAAATTTGGTGCTCTATGCGCAATAGCTTGCTCGCAATAAATGAAAAACATGTTTTTCTATAGACTGTAGCGCGAAAACGGCTCTAACAATATTGATGAAACTTTCCTATAATGTTCTAATAATTGTCCTTTCAATTTTCGTATATAGACTTTTTAAAAAAAAAAATCTATTTATTGAATAGTAATACAATCAACCACTGCTGGAGTGCTATAAGTATTAGGGCTAAAAGTTCTCATTCATACAATAAATACAAATAATAGAGAAATAAATAATACTGATGAAGAAGGTAAATAAAAAAATAAAATAAATAAGTAAACAAATAAAATAAAATAAAAACTTCTAACCACAATCATAACTATATACATTCGCCCAAGAATCTCCGAGCCAGGCTTTTTCCACCACATGTGGAAGGGAAAGCAAGACTCCAGAAGATCCCACTTTTCCAGCCGCATTACTTGTATTAGAGGTTTATGGACTAAATTCCCGAGAAAATTCAGAAAAAAATGTTATAATGAAAAGGTTTTCGACGGATCTATACGTTTCAGAGCCCCCTGAGTTCACTATTTCCTCTATTTTTAACATAAATTATTGTTTGACAAGATTAAGCTATTGCAAAAAGTTTTTGATCTGCAATATTAGAGAGTATTAAAAGTTTTTTACTGATCTACGTTAAGCCTGTTTACATTGCTTTAGTTTATGAAATAAATCGTACTCAGATCTTTTCTTGGTCCATTTTCAGGAAAATAAATCTAATCTATTTTTTTTTTTTTTTTGTTCCTGAACATATGTAAAGATATAACAACTTTTCTGAAATAGGTAGGAAAGTCGTGTGAGTGGACACACCAGATTTTTAATCTAGCGCTAGCATTAATTAATATTTAATTATTTAGGTTAAGAAAATTTTAAATTTTAGAATTAAGTATAATATATGTATATGGACGTGTTTATTTATAGATAAATAGAAATAGCAGCAGTAAAAATATAAAGCATTATTGCGGCCTCCCTCTATTAGCTCTGCCTAAACTTATGCATTTATAATTTCCATATTATATTTCAATTTGTTCACTGGCCAGTATAATTTGCGAATTATTCGCATAAGCCATCTGTTTATGCAGTGTATTAATCAATATATCTCTGTCATACATTTAAAATTAATCATTTCGACTTAAGGAATAATTGTTTGTTGAGAAAAAAAAATATTAAACTTTTATTTATCTCAGCTTAGTAGCAAACTATAACTCCTTCGTATTTTTATTATATGATAAATAAATCAGTATATCCCTGTAGTTAAATTTAAAATTTCTTGTTTGGTTTACCGACTCTTGAACGCCCAACATATGATTGTCCATGTGATAAGCAACCAGTCTCTAAATCTCCGAAGAAAAAGGGAGTAAATGTATAATTCATTATATCTGTGTACCATGTTGTCTGATTTTAGTTATTATTTTTTTAATTTACAGGGTATTCAGGAAGGTTTCTACTATTCCTTGGTATAATCAATCAAAATTTCTCACAAATATAGTTCTGAATCCATCGTGACTTTTTTTTCATATTCTTTCCGGGGAAGCATGTTATATATATAAATTAAAAGTGCTTCAAGAGAAGACTTAATCTAAGTTTAATTAAAATCTTTAGAGCCGTTTAGGAGCTGCAGTCTAGCGTCTAGGAACCACCTACCACCTTGTTTTAGTTTATTTTGATCAATATGGATTCTAATGTTTTGAGTTTTGATCGGGAGTTAGATTTGTGTAGATAATATTTTAATATTACCAAAATCTATTTCGTATCTATGATTTTTTGCTTGGTTAGATAATACAGTAGTTGTTTTTGAATTCTGTTTAGCTCTCTACTGGTTTACACTAAACTTTGAATGAAGCCTAACGGCGATTTGATTAAAACAAATTATAATAAAAACTGAACTGTAACGATATTTGGATTAAAAATAAATAAATAAAATAAAATCAATTTCACAATTACAATAAAAATAAAATAAAATAATAACTTATATAAATGAAAATAATGATAAGCTTGATAAACTGATAAAAAAAAAAAAAAAAATTAATAAAACAAAATGATCTTTGCCTACGAGAAATAATATATGACTGGCCCAAAATTAAAACAACTGAGACAAAAAAAAAACAATATTCATAGCCCCAAATAAAATTTATACAAAACGAAAATAATAAAATTTGTTTAACTTTACGTGGACGCAATCAGGTGACGGTCGTAAAACTGGAAGAACCGCTGGCTCTCCAATCGTTATACAGCGACCAAACGTAGATTTTTTTATGAGCGCTCTAATCAAACTGAAAATGGGCAGGCGAAACAAGTGGAGTGAGAGAAGTAGGTCTTTTCACCATAGGACTGCAGTGGGCAGTATCGAGGTTGGCAGCACTGAGATCAGTAATGGACAGAGTCAAGTTGTGTATATGTGTATATATATATATATATATATATATATATATATATATATATATATATATATATATATACACATATAAAACTTACGATCTTCCGGGCAAGATACAATAAAAAAAAGGAAGAAAGGATGCGAAATAACTCACTCGATTGCTTGCTAAAGGCTGAATTTATTTGCCTAGTAATTCTCTATATATACTATTAGCTCTTGTTTACAATATCTTACCACTAACCATAACATATGTACATGTGTATATATATATATATATATATATATATATATATATATATATATATATATATATATATATATATATACACATATATATAATTTAGAATTATTCCATTTTGATGAAATAATCAAATTATGAATTAAATAAATTATTGTTTAAAATTAAATAAATTAACGAGAAGTTAATAGGATTTTTAACAATTGATCTCTTTATCTTTCAATAAATTACTCGAAATAGAGCATTTTCAGACCAAAAGTTCATTCTTAACTGCGTATGGAGTTTTATTCCACAATGAGTATATTTATGTCGCTTGTTACATGAAATTAAATAATAGACGAATTACTTGTTTAAGTACTTACAGGTTAAGGATTGTATAAAAAAATGAACATTATTAAATTAGCTAATCTGTTATGGAAAATTTGCTGTTAAAATATTCTATCATATATAAAGAAATTCTTAAAACATCCAATTTACAGGTATATTAATTTTTAATGTATACACATTTAATTAATTTAAACACATATTGACTCTAGCTCACCTAATGCCTCCGACTTGGAGCCTATATATACCCGGTCACTGGATGACATCCAATATATGGATGTTCATCGACCACGGTCCAACGAAGATACCTCTGGGGGCAGAGCAATTTGTCTTTCGGAAGCTGGCCTGATCCTACTGTCCAGCACAGTCAGCAGCAATCGCTTTTCTGTGCAGGTCACCGAACATCTTTCTCCTTGAGGCTTATTTTTCCTATTAGCCTCCGATGTTTACAAATTTTTTATTGGTTAGCATTTTCATGTAATATTTCTTCGACGTGACATAACTATTAAAAAAGTCAATTATGTCAAAAGTATTCCAAATTTGTTTTTATAAGAATCAAGACCGGTTAGTAGATGAAGAGGATGGAGAGAGCAGGGAAATTGAGGATATTAAGCTTTTGACTAGAGGAATATATTGAAGGTTGTAAAGGGTATGACCAGATTATCAGTGGATGTTAATAGAGTTCTTAGCCATACTTTATAAAGGAAAAAAAAAACAGATAATTATTCACGAGGAAGGAAATGGCCCGGGATTGCAGTCTTAACGACTAAATCGTGAAAAAACTATTTTATTTCAAGCAAACGTTTCGACCCAACATTGCAGGTCTTCTTCAGGGGCGTGTATACAACATTGAGTTTCGGTTGGAACTCCGAAACTTATTTAAATAACATAAATATAATAAATGAATTAAATGAAAGAAAAAAAAACAAAACAAAGTGATATAATCTATCGACATTTTATTTTTGCAAAAGCTTAGGCTTGTAGCAGAGACAAACAAGTACTTTTTTCCAGCTTTCCTGTAGCTGCATATACAAAATACGATCGTCCATCTATTCTGAAGACTAGAAGATTCAAATGTATACAAGAAGATTCAAGAATAGCCAAAAAGAATCCAATAAACTAAAACAAAATCTATATATGATGTAATATATACTTTCATAAATAATTGTGAGTTAATAAGAAAATATGCTTTACGACGCCTTCTCCGTGCAAATCTCAGGCGCTTCCTTACGCATTCATAATTGTAAAATAGCTGTAATAGATATATTTTCCTAGTTATAGCGTCTACAATCAACTCCTTGATGATGTATTAAAAATATGAAAAAAAGAAACTGGTAAATAAATTATGTTAATCATGGAGTAAGTAAGAATTGCCGTGATTCAAGAGATAAGCGTACTTTGCTTATCTCTTGAGTCCTGTTTTTCGCTTATATCCTCAAACGGTGCGTCGCACAGTGGTGCAAAACATCTTTTTTTTTTAAAAAAAAACTTCCGGTTTTTCAGATTCATAATACATACAAACGGGTTGAAGGCTCAATGTGAGGGTCATTTTATATTATATATATATATATATATATATATATATATATATATATATATATATAATCTCCATTCTGAATTTTTATGAAATCAAAATTAATTCGATAATTTTACTCAATATATCGCCGGCACCATGTTAAAGTAAGGAATATACAACGTTGGACAAGTTAACATTCGGTATTTTAACATGGTGCCGACGACAAGACGATGTTATTTTATAAATTCTAAGTAATTCTTTATAAAATTGAATCTGATTATTCTAGTCAACAATATATGAACGAATGGTCAAAATTACAAACATTGAGATGAATTTTTTTGACTGCTCCTTTATTTTCATCAGTGCATTAATTGGTAAATTTCCCATTGGGCAGGTCTATTTGAAATATCTCTTTACTCATTGACGTTTTCTTTAAAACCGGTTCTTCGCTGTAAAAAAAAATAAACAGTTTTTTTAATTAGTAAAACTATAAAAGATTTCTCGAGAGAACATAAATGGTTTATTAAAATTTCACACAACTTTTTATAAGAAATTTCAAACAAACTCATAATCATCTTACCTGCAAACACACCAAATAATAAATTCAATGTTGTAATAAAACTTATTTTGTTGATGAGCATCTGTTTAAGCTTTCATTACACTATCCTACAAAAAGTAGATTAAATTCTTAATTATATAAGTAATGAATACTGTTATACTTAATAGTAGTTGCAAACGTCATTTTTTTTATTTATAATGCTATTATTTCTTTTAATGTGTTAACAATTTTTTTTTCTTATCCATAGTAAAGCCAATACGAGCTAGTATTTTTTTCATGAGAAGTCTCAACTTGTAGATAAATGTAGCTAGTTTTGATTGTGTCCCTTAGCCGTACATTACGCTCAGATTTTCACCACATTAAATCAATGACTACACAAAATTTAATTTTTTCTGTACTAATTTATCTACAAAGATGAAATTTAATTAGAAAAAGGCTTCTTTTTCTATTATCAAGACTTGAAAGTATTCATATTTATTTATTAAAAACAAAATTATATTTATGCCTATGTTAAGAATAACTTTTTATTTATTTTTCTCTATGTGATAAAGGAAGTATCGTTACATGTGATATATAACTGTTTGAAAATAACGAACCATTATGTAAAAAATTGCAGCGTTTTGGTTTATTATTTTCAATAATGAACCATTGTGATCGAACAAAAAATTCAAAAACTTAACCCCTTCTCAAAATTTAAGGTTTTACGTTTCCAGATACGTAGAATTTGAAAAGACGAATAAAAATTATTTTGTCCGTACGCCGTCCACAGTCCTTTCTCCTCCGAAACTACAAGACCGATTTTTTTCAAATTTGGATTTAAAATTAGAGGTTATCCAAGGATGATCCTCCTTCATCGACATTTCCATCCGCCTTTTACGTTCAAGATGGCGACCGATTACAATGAAACTTTGCTAATGTCTTCTTTTCGATGCGCTTTAAATTTGTGTATATAGCATATTTCAACGAAAAGAAGCTGGAAAAAAAGTTACGTGGAATGGTAAAATTAGATTCCGAATAACTCAAAAAGTATAAACTTTTTTGTAGATATTGTAATGGTTATTTAAAAGTTTACAGAATTTCCTAATAAAAAAAACAACGTTAAAATCGGACAATTAGGAGCAAAAATATGGTCTCTAGATGTTCGGAATCACTTTTTATTTCTATTTATTTGTCAATAGGAAGGTAATGTTACTTTAGATGTTTAATTGTTTGGAAATAATAAACCATTGTGAAATAATTTGCATGTTTTTTTTATTATTTTTTTTTTTAAATATAAACGAGGAAAATAATCGAGTTGGTTTCGTTATTGAAGAACATTTGCAAGACATTAATTTATTTTAGAGCATCCGAAAAATAAATCCGTGGTTGAATGATCTCCGTTTGAGAAAGTGGGTTTCATTATCTTTTGTCCTTAGAGAGGGAAATGCTGATATTAAAAGGAAAAAAAAAATGATAAGGACTGTCGGAAATTGGCTGTCGGTGGTCCCTCTTAAGCTAGCTCATTACTAATAGCCGCTCCAGTAATGGGCGAACACTAAAACGGAATTATACACATAACAGCCTCTTTGTAATTGTCTTCTGAATATTTAATAGTTTTGTCGAGTTCTTATAGGAATGAATAATTCAGCCTATTAAAAGTGCTGGTACAAAGAGATACTCTATTCGCCCTCTCCCCATCATCTAACTGAAAGCAGCTCCTGAATTAAGTGCAAGGAGCATAAATTAATTCAAAACGTATTAAAAGTTCATTATTCTGCTTTGTTAATGATTGAAAGATTGATATGATTCGTTTGGGTGAAACAATATTTTTGAGGTATGGGTGGATTGACAAAAAAATGTTGCAGTGAAAATTAAATACATTTATATTGCTATAGACCATAAAATATCCTTGATCCACTATTGCTGTTGAACAAATATTTTTATGATTCCTTCATGGGTATTCCCTACTGTGCGGTTATGTTTTTATGTGATTTTTCCTTTTTTTTTTTTTTATACAAATCACATTCAATGAAAGAGGACAGAACATTATTGGTATTTCCTTTTTTAGATTAATATTTTTAAATATCTCTTGATTCGGAACAACTGTACAAATTGCTTTATCACTCTCAAAAAGACATATTTTATCGAACCAAGGTTATAACATAAATATTAGAAAAAATCGAATGTAGAGAAGAATTTCACTGATATAATCAGTTTTTAATATTCGTAAAATAATAATTCTTATTTGTAGATTGATGGTTGACTGTAGTGAATAATTAAAGAAAAGGATGGTTGAAGTGATGATCAGTCTAAATAAAAAATAGCAAAAATAAATAATAATATTTAATTTTACATTTGCCGACGTTTCGGCCTGAAGTTCAGTTCTTAACACGCTTTTGGTTTGATTAGCCCTGATAAAGGCCTGAACTTCGGGCCGAAAAGTGTAAAAATAAATATTATTTATTTTTCCTATTTTTATTTTGTCTGATCACCTCAACCATCCTTCTCTTCAATAATTCTTATTATTTTACCTCTCCTATAAAATAATACTATTTGCAGTTACGTAACGTCATTACTCTACCAGATGGTATTTATAATATTTTTTTATTATTATTTATTCATGATAATTACAATTGTTTAAAAAAATACATCTAGTAAATTTGTACAAAGGGATATAATGACATTAAAACACTTGTTCAGAAACTACCCACTGGTGGCACTGTGATTATATGTCTGCATTAAGAGATCACGGGACTATCCTTCCAGACACCTAGGAGTTTTATCAGGAATTAAAGAGGAAGCAAGGTTAGATATAAGATGATTGGGATGGCTATGAAGTTTATCATGGAATGATAGGTGTCTGGATTGGGCCAATTCTTAATCATAAGGAACATTAAGGTCATTATGGATGATTGTATTTGGAACAAAGTAAGGAGCATTGAGGATTTTCGGAAGGATTTCGGTTTTTAATGACTGGATCCGAGATGAATTTGATGGTTTGGTGGAGCCCCATAGTTCCGAAAGTCCAAATTGACCTTTTAAGGGATTCTGGTAGGTTCACTCAATAAATGCACCATAAACAATTGATATAAACAATTTAGTTTTTTGCAAAACAATACAAAGCTATGAGTAATAAAGTTTGAACAAAAATACAAAAGAAAAATAACGTTATACAAAAATAAGAAAATTCAGCTGCAGAAAAATTAATTACAGAATAAAGGGAAAAAAGTAAAGTTTTATAAAGGAAAAAAAAATTATGCTTGCCAAATTAACAAATACTTAAAAGAGTTGCAACTCCAGAACCGGTAATATAATACAGCGATGTTAAATTGTTATATGCCACTAGGTAAAATTATACATTTTTCACGTTAGCGACAAAATCTGTGATTCTTTCTATCACGCTAAAAACGGTCTTTATTTTGATCATCTGTTTTTTTTTTTACAACGCAATCGATATTTTATATCAAGCCTAGACGATTGATTTCCAAAGAGGTTGGAAGAAGTAAAACTGGCTGCAGCACTGATTACTGAAGGCGTCATTGAAGAGGATTGTGGTAACAACCTTATTATAGTCATGTATATGAGTCTTTGACTTGAAGGTTTGAGCGTTTGTCTAGTAAGTGTTGAAGTTGTCGGAAATTTCGAGCGGTTTCTTGTCGTTTCAGTCTGGTATGATGATTCCAAGTTAGACATTTGTCCAGGTGTAGTTCTAGATAACGGATTTGATCAATTGACATAAGTGAGGGATTTTTAAAGGATTGACTAAAATCAATGAAAAATGGGTTCTTTCTTTGAAGCGGTCGTAATGTTTATTTACTGTTGGCATTATTTCACAAATAATCGTAAAATACAAAAATTATATTTATCTGACATAATTATACTTATACAAAATTTTATAAAGGTCTACTAAAAAATATCTTCAAGTACAAAATCTTAAACTAATATAAAAAACAAGCCTGATGAACTTGACATCCTTGTGGAACATTGGCCTCCTTAAATATCCTCCTCCAAGCAAACCTGTCTGCGGCCGTTCCTCTCGATCCAGCAATACCTAGGTTTTCGTTTTCGTTATCATCTAGCCAACGAAAACTTCTTTTTCTTCTTCCTCCCGGGTTTCGCTCCATCGTCTTATTAGATATCATATGCTCCATTGACAGTTTGATGTTAGCAGCTCCTGAATTAAGTACAAGGAGCATAAATTAATTCAAAACGTATTAAAAGTTCATTATTCTGCTTTGTAAATGATTGAAAGATTGATATGATTCGTTTGGGTTAAACAATATTTTTGAGGTATGGTTGGATTGACAAAAAAATGTTGCAGTGAAAATTAAATACCTTTATATTGCTATAGACCATAAAAAATCCTTGATCCACTATTGCTGTTGAACAAATATTTTTATGATTCCTTCATTGGTATTCCCTACTGTGCGGTTATGTGATTTTTCCTGTTTTTTTTTTTATATGGTAATATAATATGGTAATATACCAATGTATATTGGTGAGCGAAATGGAGCCTTAGGCTCGAATAAATTGAAGTAACAATTAATTTTCTAGAATAGTTTCCTAGTATACCAGCATTCACTCCAATAGTCTAGCTAATGTTTTTCTCAATTCGAAAAATCCATCGTCAAATTTTAAAATAAGATGTTATCCTTTTTTGTGAGTATATGCCTAAATTCGCTGTTTAGTTTACATTGAAATGATCTCATGGTATTTATTATTGGTAACATGGTAACCTAATTTATTATTTTTTTCTATTATTATCATTTTTTCAACGTTCTAGAATTGGATTCCGTTGTGGTGAAAAGGGTAATGTTCGATATTATAATAGCTCCCTTTCTGGGATTTCGGTCTGTTGTGATTCCGAACGGACCCATATACAGCTGCCAAATATAGTGATAGACCTCCCCACAATGACCCTGTAAACCTAAAAGCTCTCCGTTCGGGGAAATTGAACAACAGTCGCTCTGATTGCTCTTCACATGATTGTAGTCCATCAGATATATTGGGAAGTAGTCCCTGATTAATTGATCCTATTTCATTCTTCCGTCTCGAATAAAATGATGTTTCTGGTTTCCTGGTTCAGAGTGTAACGCGCTGATTTAGTAGAAATTGTATGTTATTCTTTTGTAAACCTCTCAATTATAAGAGATATAAATATAGCCATCTCTTGCTGAGAGCATACATTAATCTCGATATTTAACAATATTTAATAAATATCTTCTTCCTCTTTAATGGGCTCTACAGTCCTTTTAGACTAAACCTGGAGCTAAAAGCAACCATTTCATTTAATTGGAGGACTTAAAGCTAGTAACCATTTTAAATTCTAGACAAGCTCATCTGAACACTCAGCATAGTGGGTCAGTTAGGTGAAAGACTTTGCTTTCTAAACGAAAAATTGAATTAAAGAGGCGAAATTTGACGGTTCATTAAACGGAAGGACATACGAATGAAATTTTGGTATGATGTAAAGAATATGTCCTTAAAATAGAATAAAACTTGACTGACGGTGTACTCGGTTATGTTTTGATAAATGACGACGTCAGTAATCAAATTAGGCCAGTTGGATGAGGAAAACAATTCAAATATTCGGTTTATCTTCATTCTTTTATGTTATCACACACAAATTTTTGAAAAAAGTTTTGTGGTTTAATGTTGAATATAATTTTGAAGTATGGTGTCAAAACTGGAGGATTAAAATAAATTCCAATAAATCCCATCAAATCACCTTTACCCTTCGTCGTAAACCAATGACAAGCTGTCCTATATATAGTATCCTTTAATAACACCCCACTTATCCCTGTAGAACAAATCCGATACCTAGGACTCCAGCTGGACAAACGTCTCACTTGGAATCCTCATACAAGACTGAAACGACAAGAAACTGCTCGGCGTTTCCACTTACTCCAACACATACTAGACAAACGCTCTAAACTTCCAATTAATTACAAAAGACTAATATACATGACTATACTAAAACCTATTGGACGTATCCAATCCTTACAATCCAAAATCTTTTTTTCATTAAAATATAAAATAAATCCCTAATGACCTTAATGTTCCAAAAGTTTCCGATTTGGCCCAATCGAGATAATATCCTTCCATAATAAACTTCATAACCATCCGAATCCTCTCGTTTTTAACCTTGCTTCCTCTTCGATTCCTGATAACCCTCCGGAGCGTCTGAAAAGAAGATGGTTTCGTGATCTGCTTATGTAGACATATTATTAGAGTGCTACCAGTGGGCAGTTTCTCATCAAGCATTTTCAAGTGATTATATTCTTGTGAACACATTTACTTGATGTATTTATATTGTAATACAGTTATAAATATCTTGAATATATAGTTCTAAAAAAAATTTTGAATACTTGCAACAAAGTTTTTGTCTTTTGCCTGATAGCTTGGATCTCCATTCGCATAAAGTCATCCTTGCTTTTAAGGATGGAAGTAGAAATTTGCTATGTTTCAAAGAGGTTAATGTTAGAAGTGATGGGGCGGATGGTAGTATCAGGTTTTGCATATTTTCGGCCCATAGAAACGAGGTGCCACTGAGGTTTCTGTAAGTCAAGTACGTGATTTGTTTTGGGTGTTACAGGTTTCTGGTGTGGTGATCGAATTGGGATTTAAGAGTAGAGAAACAGGGTGTAGGGGCGTATATATTTCCGTTGTCTTCTTTAGTGATAATGATGTTGTCATGGGTTTTTAGGAATGATCGTGTGAAAGAAATGTAGTTGAAGAATTGAGGGAAAAAGTTTGAAGGAATGAATGGTGGGAGCGGGTGTTTGATGTGGTTAGAAATAATTTTGGTTATAGAAACACGTGATTTTTATTGGAATGGTGAAAGATGGGATCATTAAAAATATATTCTAAGTCTGTTATAAGTTCTGAGATAGGTTTGGTTGACAAATTTAGGATGGAAAAATTTGAACCTATGCTTAAAATATTGAGGACGTTGGAGAGATTTTCAGTGGAGAGATTTCAGCCCAAAATTGAAATGGGCTGTTCCCACCTCGCCTTTCCACCCGTATACAAAATATTTGTAGTACGGGTACTTTTCCGCCGTGACTAACTGAGGAAAATAGTTTTCTGTGAAAATGTAGAGACCGGTTTCACTCAGTAACTTAGCCCTTAGTTCTTCAAAGGCGGGGCAGTCGACTATGATGTGCTCAGCCTTCTTCGGAACATAGCTAGGGCATAGGGGGGCGATTTCCATCCCATGGGTATGAAGCTTTGCTCGAAAGCCGCCATGGCCTGTGAGAAATTTCGAGAGCCAGTAGTCCGGAACGATCCAGTTTTCTTCTAAACGTGACCAGACGGTGGGGAAGTACTTCCTCAAGGTAGATCCTTTTAGGTGTATCGCCCACCGCCGGTTCCATTCCTCCATTGTGTCCTCCCGTATAATGTATTTCCATTTGCAAGGGTTCTCGTCAATTCTCACCTTAAGGTTTTCCGGCAGAGCTTCTGAATCGTTTTTCTTAAACATGTATTTCATCATGTCTTCACGCAGGAGGAGGTCGAGAGGTACCTCTCCTTCTAATACCTGCATTGCCTCATGGAATACGATCCGATACGCCCTAGTGACCAGCAGCAATGCTGTTCGCTGTACTGTCGCCAACTTCATCTTCTGTCGTTGCGAGAGGTTCTGGTGTCAGGGGGGAGACGCGTACCTCAAGATAAATCACTCCCTTATAAATTGTTAATGTTGCTTGGTTTCTGAGGCCTCAGGAAGCGTCCCCAACCCGACTGAGGCCGTTTAAAGATATTGCCACCCTGTTTCTAAGATAGTCCAAGTGAGGATTAATGTTGTATCTTTTCCCAAATGTTACGCCTAGATAAGTGACCACCTCACTTTTACGTATTCTCGATCCTTGAATCGTAATATTAATAGGGTGTGCCCTATCAGTTTTCCCTTTCATGAGAATTGTATGAGTCTTCGAAGGTGCTTGAAATAAATGATTTTAAAAAATAAGGAGGATAAATTATTCTACATTTTTTTTATCTCCTTCCTTAATAAAGTAATGTTGTACGAAGGCATTTTATTTGTTTATTTGTATATGCTCCATGCATTAAGCATTATACGTATATAAATTTAATGTGAAGAGTTGCATTGGTCATATAAAAGTTACAAATTACTTTATGATAGTTATAAAATATAGTTCAAACTTATGTAAAAAACAAAATAAGAAACAACATCAAATAAGTATGCTGAGATCAAAGTAAAGATAATGAATTAAATAAAAAAATCAACCGTCGTATTAGTCTCTTCATTCTTAGAGGACTTAAAGAACAATTTAAAGAGTACATTTATTTTTATCCTTTTAGGTTTTCTGAAAATATCCTTTTCCTATACAAGAATTATTAAATATCCGAGGAATTAGTTCGTCGCAGAGGTATGTATCAATATTCGTCAGATGAAACCGTTTTAATTAAAATTTGTATTTTCCATGACCATTGTCCATTGTCCAATAAAAGTGAGTCAGTTTGTTAGGTGTTTTTTCCCTATTTCTTTTTTCTTCTGCAGTTGGTGTTACTTCTGAAACAAATTTATGAAGAGTTAATTTTGTCAGCCAAAATGTATTTTTAAATGTTTGATAAAGAGGTTTCGTCAATGTAGTAGTCATGTGTGTAACTTTATTTAAATATTTCTTTGTCAAGTTGGTGGTTCAAAGAAAAATTTTCAAAGTATAACTTCTTATTTGAGTGATAGATTCCTACCTTTGATATGAGCTTTGACTGGTCAGAAGTTCCAAAAGGCACAATAAAAATGTGTATGCCTCCCATAGCTAAATTGTATTCCGTATTTGATACTGTTATAGCACAATAAGTATGAACGAAATCACGAATCGTCAAATGTTCTCAATCTTGGCAGATGTAGATGGAAAGATGTTGACATGCAAAGATTGGCAGGAAAGATGTTTCTTGCAAATACTTGAATTTCTCTCAAAACTACTTCATCGACTCTAAAAAATTGTGTGAGATTTCGTAATCTCCATGTATTTTTTTAACTGAACTCTTTCAAACTCCTAGAAAATGTGACAATACATCGATCTTGAATATTCTTCCCAATAAAGCACCGATGACGCTATTTCAAGTACTCAATCCTGCTCTAAATAGTTAATGCTGTGCCACCGATTTTTTGAATTTTTCCCAATCATTTTTGAATAAGCTGAGATAATGTGGAATGATTCTATGTGAA